CCTCGCCCTCTCTCCCCCCCTCACTCCCCTCCTCCTCCTCCCCTCTCCTCCCACTCCCTCCCGCCCTCCCTCCCCCCCTTCCTCCCCCATCCCTGTCGCTCTCTTTTTGTTTTTTTTTTTTTTTTTTCTCTCCTCTCTCTCTCTCTCTCTCTCTCCTTTCTCTCTCTCTCTCTCTCTCTCTTCTCTCTCTCTCCCTCTCACTCTCTCTCTCCCATTCTCTCTCTCTCTCTCTCTCCCTTTCTCTCTCTCATTCATCGGGGGCCTGTCTTTCCGTTTGGCGCGTCTAGTGGCACGCGACGCGAAAGTTTATTATTATTATTATTTGTTTGTTGTTCTCTCAGCCGCCCCTGCTTGCACGAGGCGCCCCTGCGCTTCTGAATTGGAGGCGCGGGGGCGCGGCGCCTGCCCCCGCCTCCCGCGGGCGGACTTCGGCCCGCCCATGTTGGTGCGTTCTCTGTCTGTCTGTCTGTCTGTGTGTATGTATGTCCGTCTCCCTCCTTTTATATGTTCTCTCTCTCTCTCTCTCTTTCTCTCTCTCTCTCTCTCTCTCTCTCTCTCTCTCTCTCTCTCGCTCTCTCTCTCTCTCTCCTCTCTCTCTCTGTCGGAGGCGGGTCGCGGGCCTTCGGTCGCAAGTGGGCCGCGTGCCTGGTAGCGGAGCGCGGGGGGGCGTAGGTCGGGCGTTTAGGTCGGCAAACTTAGGTTGTAGGCTCGGGCGCGTAGGCGTAGGTCGGGCGTTTAGGTTCGGCCGCTTAGGTTGTGCGTGTGTGTGTGTGCGCGTGTGTGTGTTTGTGTGTGCGTGCGTTCGTGTGCGTGTGCGCGTGTGTGCATGTGTGTGTGTGTGCGTTTGAGTGCGCGTGTGTCTCTGTCCTTAGGCTCTTTTTTTTTTTTATTTTTTTTTTTTTTTTTTTTTTTTTTTTTTTTTTTTTTTTTTTTTTTTTTTTTTTTTTTTTTTTTTTTTTTTTGTTTTTTTTTTTTTTTTTTTTTTTTACGGCCGCAGCTGCGCGCGCCCCGCCCATCGGCGGGCGCGCGCGCGCGGCCCGCGCATGCCCACCCTGATCATCCGTTCTCGAAAAATTTGCATCGCGGGAGGGTGTCGGAAAGTAAGCAGGCACTCCCCCCTCTCCCTCTCCTGCGACTAGCGCGGGCCCATGCTGCTGGCGAGCATCTACGCGTTCCACAATCGAGTAGTCTCTCTCTTTCTCTCTCTCTCTCTCTCTCTCTCTCTCTCCCTCTCTCTCTCTCTCTCTCGCTCTCTCTTTTTCCCCATATCCTAAGATGGGGTTCTTGTTATTACTTGGACGCCTCCTACTCCTCCTCCTTCTCCCTCCTCCTCTTTTCTCGCCCCCTCCTGTCGGACATACTCAGACTTGCTCATGCACAGACTTACTCATACTCAGACTTACTCATACTCAGACCTACTCATACTCAGACTTACTCACACTCAGACATACTCATATACAGACTTACTCATACACAGACTTACTCATACACAGTATTAGTCATACCCATACGTACACATACACAGACTTACTCATACACAGACTTACTCACACTCAGCACCCCTAAGGGGAGCCGTCAGGGGTGGTTGCGCGGGCTCGTTCGCGGCCATTTTGTGGGGATGTCTCAGGCGGTTTGCCTGTTTCTGTGCCCAACATCCTTCGCTTTCGGTGCAGATTTGGAGGATGTCTCGAGCGGGGCGCTCATTTCAGCACCCCTAAGGGGAGCCGCCAGGGGTGGTTGCACGGGCTCGTTCGCGGCCATTTTGTGGGGATGTCTCAGGCGGTTTGCTTGTTTCTGTGCCCAACATCCTTCGCTTTTGGAGCAGATTTGGAGGATGTCTCGAGCGAGGCGCTCATTTCAGCACCCCTAAGGGGAGCCGCCAGGGGTGGTTGCACGGGCTCGTTCGCGGCCAATTTGTGGGGATGTCTCAGGCGGTTTGCCTGTTTCTGTGCCCAACATCCTTCGCTTTCGGAGCAGATTTGGAGGATGTCTCGAGCGAGGCGCTCATTTCAGCACCCCTAGGGGAGCCGCCAGGGGTGGTTGCACGGGCTCGTTCGCGGCCATTTTGTGGGGATGTCTCAGGCGGTTTGCCTGTTTCTGTGCCCAACATCCTTAGCTTTCGGAGCAGATTTGGAGGATGTCTCGAGCGAGGCGCTCATTTCAGCACCCCTAAGGGGAGCCGCCAGGGGTGGTTGCACGGGCTCGTTCGCGGCCATTTTGTGGGGATGTCTCAGGCGGTTTGCCTGTTTCTGTGCCCAACATCCTTCGCTTTCGGAGCAGATTTGGAAGATGTCTCGAGCGAGGCGCTCATTTTCACCCCCCAGGTGGGCCAGATTTTGAGGATGTCTCGATCGGTTTGTTAGTTTTGGTGGCCAGGCTCGTGGGCGCAGATTCTTCTCAGGATGCCACAGGAGGCTCCAACAGGCTCCAGGAGGCTCCAGGAGACCACATGAGGTCCAGGAGGCATCAGGAGGCCACAGAAAGACTCAAGAGGCCACAGGATGTCCCAAGAGGCTCCAGGAGGCCCCAGGAAGCTCCAGAAGGCCTCAGGAAACCACAGGAGACCCCAGGAGACAACAGGAAGCGCCAGGAGGCCTCGGAAGGCAACAGGAGGCCCCGAGAGGCCCCAGGAGCAGGAGGCTTCAGAAGGCAACAGGAGTGGCTCCAATCCCATGTGTTTTACGTATGCTCCTATCGATTGGGCCTCACCTGGAGCACGATTCTTTGATGTTCTACGTGTGTTTCTATAGATGGTCCTTCTCCTGTGTGCACAATCCTAAATGTTTTACTCATGTTCCTATGTATTGGGCCTCTCCTGGGGCACGAGTCCTTGGTGTTTTACGCGTGTTCCTATATATTGCCCTTCTCCTGTGGCTCTAATCCGCAATGTTTTATGTGCGTCTGTTGCTATAGATTGCGCCTCCCCTGGGGCACGAAACCTTCCTAGGAGGCCCCAGGAGGTCCCAAGAGACTCCTGGAGACCCCAGGAAGCCCCAGTAGGTTTCAGGAGGCCCCAGGAGGCCCCAGGCTCATGCACAGAGGCGCGCTCGTACTATACTGAGGCTCATTCACACTCCAATTCATTCGCAGTTAGATTGATGTCCAGACCGTCACAACTGAAGCCCGTTAATATTCGAAAGCTCTTGCGCCTAGACATTCACGGCGGACAGGTCCGTTCGAGTAGATGCACATATGGGGAGCTCCACGCAGTGTCTAATTCTCTCTCTCTCTCTCTCTCTTTCTCTCTCGCTCTCTCTCTCTCTCTCTCTCTCTCTCTCTCTCTCTCTCTCTCCCTCCCTCCCTCCCTCTTTCTCTTTCTCTCTCTCTCTCTCTCTCTCTCTCTCTCTCTTCCCCTTTCTCCCTCTCCCTCTCCCTATTTCTCCGAGACGCCCAATATGGCCCCGCGGGGCCATCTCCCTCTCCCTCTCCCTCTTTCTCCGAGACGCCCAATATGGCCCCGCGGGGCCATCTCCCAAAAGGCCCTCACCCATGCAAAACAACAGTTGCTTCAGTCAACCCGCGTCGTGAGGATGGGCAACCTTCCCAGGGCTACCCTTGCATCGTTGCCCCGTCGGCCCATCCTTTGCGACTTCACCTGTCAGCCTCGCTTGAAAAAACGCCATGGGCCCCCTGGGGCCGCGCATCCTTGCCGCGCATCCTTGCGACGCGGGCTGACTGCAGCCAACGTGAAACAATCCGTAGACATTTCGTCTCTGATCAGATCCTGGTCCGATTCTGGCCCGATGGCGGGCCCCCCCCCCCCACCAAGACGTTCACGGAACTCAAGCGATGGCGCACGAGTCAGTCGTGGGACGGCTGGACAGGCCGTCTCATCGCGCTCTCATGGAGCGAGGGCGGCGTCGAGGAGACATGGATGTGGAGGCCGCCCATCAGCGACGGCAAGGGCGACGGCAAGGGCGACGGCGAGGGCGACGACCCGAACAACGGTGAGGGCGATGGCAAGGGCGGCAAGGGCGACGGCAAGGGCGGCGGCAAAGGCAAGGACAAGGACAAGGACAACAAGGCCCAGGGCAAGGGCGGCGGCAAGGGCAAGGGCGGCGGCAACGGCAAGAAAAAGGCCCAGGACAAGGCCAACGACAAGGGCCAGGCCAACGACAAGGGCAAGGGCAAACGCAAGGCCAACGACAAGGGCAAGGACGGCAAGGCCAAGGACAAGGCCACAGGCAAACGCAAGGCCAATAAGTAGACGGTGAGCAGCCCGACGGCCCAGCCCGACGGAGGAGGAGGAGGAGGAGGAGGGGGAGGAGGAGGAGGAGGAGGAGGAGGAGGGAGGAGGAGGAGGAGGAGGAGGAGGAGGAGGAGGAGGGAGGAGGAGCAGGGAGGAGGAGGGAGGAGGAGGATGGAGCCTCACCTGCGGCCTCACTGGGCGCCTCGGCATGCGGGCCCCGCGCCCGTGGAGGCCCTGCCCCTGCCGCCGCATCGGAGCACATCGTCATCGGCATCAGTTGTAGTAGTATTAGTAGTAGTAGTAGTAGTAGTAGTAGTAGTAGTAGTAATAGTAGTAGTAGTAGTAGTAGTAGTAGTAGTAGTAGTAGTAGTATTAGTAGTAGTAGTAGTAGTAGTAGTAGTAGTATAGTAGTAGTAGTAGTAGTAGTAGTAGTAGTAGTAGTAGTAGTAGTAGTAGTAGTAGTAGTAGTCTAGTAGTAATGGCATCGGCATCACATCGGCATCACATCGTCACCTCCTCCTCCGCGCTCGAAATTGCAGGCTCGAAAATGCAATAATCTGGGGCTCGAAATTGCAATCGACACTTCCATCGCCATCGAAATTGCGCGATCGAAATTGCGGGCTCCGATTTCGAGTTCCCCCGATCGAAATTGCAGAGAAATTTCTGCAAGATGCATCTTGCAGAACTTCTCTCGGAATTTGGAGAGCGGAGGATCAGGGGTTGTCCTGGCCAACGATCCCCCCGGACGGGATCGGCTCAATCACTGCGCTGCCGCGCAGCACCGCGCCCTTTCGGGCGAACGCCCTCGCAGATGCAGGCCGCGCTCGCCTCCGCAGCCGCCTCGGACCTGGCTGGCCGGCCACGCGCGCGCGCCGCGGCGATGCGTGGCAAGCGGAAGCATCCTGGCTTCCTGCCGCTCGTCGACCACCAGGATGCGCCGTCGCGCAGACGCGTCGTCGCGCCAGTGGTGCCGCTGATCACGGCGCCGCCGGGCGCGTCTGCGAGCGCCCCCGCCGCCCGCGCGGAGCACGCCGCTAGCGCGCGCCCTCGGGGTCCCGCGTCGGCGCCCCCCGGGCCAGCGCGGGCGGGCAGAGACGACGCGCCGTCGGCGAATTTCACCCGGGGAGGGTCGCAAGAGAAGGCGCTGGAGGCGACGAAGGACGAGCACTTTAGGAGAGCAGCTCTCGGGGCGCTGCAGAGAGCCTTCCTTGCGGCCTCGGCGCGATGTACGACGTCATCACTCGTGAGGACTCGAGGGCTCTTCCGCGGGGCCTGGTTCGGCGAACGCGGCTCAGTCGTGCCGCCCGCGCCCGAGAAGCTGCAGGCGACCGGCGCCGTGTTCAAGGCTGGGCGGTAATGGTCCTTCCAGGATTAGTTTCTTCGGGCGCATCAAAGAGCGACGCGTCGAGGAGTTCGGGGAGTGGAGCCCGGCTCTCGAATATGAAGCCAAGCAGCTGAGCGAGTCGCGCGGTCGGTGCTGCGCGGGATAGGGCCTGGCTCGCGGAAGGACCCCATGGACCTCGACCTCATCGTGGATGCGGTGAGGACAGGCTGCGTCCCCGACGACTTGCCCGGCGTCGCTGGGGTGCCGATCGGGCCAGCCAACTTGGCTGCCCTAGCGGTCTTCTTCCTCCTGAGGGAGATCGAGGCGTCTCTGACCGTGTGCAGGAACGTCAGCATCAACCTCACGAACAGAACAAGCGGGGTATTTGGTTGCTCCCAGGGTCCAAAGCAGACCCGATGGCCTTGTCCACCTCGCGCGCCCGGGACTGCGTCTGCACTGCGATGGCGCCGGAAGGGTGCCCGTGCCATTGCGCGGTGAGCCGGGCGAGGCTGGTCGAGAAACACTTCGCGAACGCGCAGGGCAAGGTGCCGGAGTCGATTCCGTTCATCCCCGCGCTGGCCGGAAACGCGCTCAGCAAGGAGGCCACCACGGCGACGCACGAGGAGCTGCACCGACGCGCCAGAGCCCCCACGCACGACGACGAGGGCAACCGGTTGCTGGGGGGGCACTTGCCCAGGATGCTCGCCCGGACAGGGGTCCACGTTTATCTCATCGAGTTGATAGCGAGGTGGCACGCCCCCATGCTGCCCCACCACGCGCGGGAGGCCCCACTGCACCAGATCAGCAGCGAGTTCGTCGAGCTGCGCGCCATGAACAAGGAGAGCGGCACCAGTCGTGACATCATGGCCAAGCTGGAGAGCCTCAGCGCCACGCCGATCGAGGCGAACAGCGACCTGGTGGACCGCGCGCGCGCCTGGGAGTCTGCGCCGCGTTCGGAGAGGCAGGGCAGGGCGGAGCACGTCAAGAATGACGGTTCCAGTGTGTGGCGCCGTCTCGCAGTGGAGGGGCTGGGTATCCCTGCTGACCAGCGGCGCACTACGTGCGGTTGGCGCTTCGCCTTCCGCAGGTACACTCTGGCTGCAGGTTGCTTGCAGCAGGGCGCAGAGCGCTGCGAGAAATGCTTCCCGCCTGCGAGCGCGGAGCACGGCCTGCGCGGGGAAGACTCAGACCCCGAGCGGCCGCGCCACGAGTTCACGTCGTCGTCCGTCGCTCTGGGGCTTTCGCTCCCGCGGCCACGAAGCAGCCGCGAGCGAAGGAAGAGGTTCGCCACGAGGCGAAGGAAGAGGTGTTCGCTATGAGCGCGCCCTGGCGCACCTTTCTCCAGCTTCCCAGCAAACTGGTTCCATGTATTGCACCGTGTGTGTGTGTGTGTGAAATTCTCCATACATCTTGTATCCGTCTGCTCATTGGAGTCTGCACCGTAACGGTCTGGACCGTCTGGGTGCCCACCCAGTGCAGGGAGGGCGGGCGGCTCGCGAGTCGAGCGAATAATGTTGAGGAGGAGGAGGACGCGGCGGTGGATGATGGAAGAGGAGGATGCGGAGGCGGATGCGGATGCGGGGAGTTGAGAGGGGGGGAGGACGGCGACGAACGAGGGGGGGAAAGGTTCTATGCATAGGGCGAAAAAGAGTGAGGCGCAGGATGACGAGTACAAGGACAGAGGGCAGACATTGAGGAGCAAGAGGGGGAGGGGGAGGAGGAGCAGCAGGAGGAGCAGCAGGAGGAGCAGGAGGAAAAGGATAACACGATGATGTTGTGGAGGAGGGAGAAAAGGAGGAGGAGGAGCAGGAGGAGGAGGCGGCAGGAGGAGGCGGCAGGAGGAGGAGGAGGATAAATCATGAAGGAAAGGAGGGTAGGAGGGCGCGGACGAGGAGGAGGAGGAAGAGGAGGAGGAGGAGGAGGAGGAGGAGGAGGAGGAGGAAGAGGAGGCAGGAGGAGGAGGAGGAGGAGGAGGAGGAGGACGAGGAGGAGGAGGAGGAGGAGGAGGGAGGTGAGGAGGACAGGCAGGAGGAGGAGGGGAGAAGCGAGGAGGAGGAGGAGGAGGACGACGACGACGACTACGAGGAGGATGAGTGGCCTGGCTTGGCCTGGCTGGGATTGGCGTAGGCGGACGCCTGGCGCCCTGCCGCGGCGAGGACGGCGACGGGCTGTCCGATGAGGGTGGCGGCGGGCTGCCCAGGTAGCGTCCGGCGAGGGCGGCTGCGCCGCCAGAGGCTCGATTGCGCCAGCCTCGCTACGCGCCCGCCGCGGGCCCTCACGGGGTTCTCCTCCTCCTCCTCCTCCTCTCCTCCTCCTCCTCCTCCTCCTCCTGCCTCCTCCTCCTCCCCCTTCTCCTCCTCCTTCCTCCTCCTCCTCCCTCCTCCTCCTCCTCCTCCTCCTCCTCCCCTCCTCCTGCTCCTCCTCCTGCTCCTCTCCTGCTCCTCCTCCTCCTGCCTCCTCCTCTCCTCCCCTCCTCCTCCCTCCTCCTCCTCCTCTCCTCCTCCTCCCTCCTCCTCCTCCTCCTCCTCCTCCTCCTCCTCCTCCTCCCTTCCTCCTCCTCCTTCCTCCTCCCTCATCCTCTCCCCTCATCCCTCATCCCTCCTCCCTCCTCCTCCTCCCTCCTCCCTTCTCCCTCCTCCCTTCTCCCTCCTCCCTCCTCCCTCCTCCCTCCTCCCCCCTCCCTCCTCCCTCCTCCTCCTCCTCCTCCTCCTCCTCCTCCTCCTCCTCCTCCTCTTCCTCCTCCTCCTCCTCCTCCTCCTCCTCCTGCCTCCCCCTCCCCCTCCTTCCGAGGAGAGCCCGCAGAGCCCTTGCTACCGCGGCGGCGGCTGATCCCATGAACGCTAAGAGATTCTTTGGAGGTCCCTGAGAGAGGCTGGTCGCAGAGCCGCCTGCGTGAGCGCTGATTGTATTTCTCAAGTGCGGCAAGCGTTACAGGTGTTCCAGGTGTGGCGATCCGTCTACGTGGGGCAGGCTCCTGGATGTTCGTTCTTCCGACTGCCGAAAGACGTTGTCGTCCGAGTTCCTGGTCCAGTAGAGGGTTGTTGCTTCGCGCTCAGCAGGTCTCAGCAGCTGGGGTTATGGGATGGTTGTAGCAGTTTGTCACCACTGCGGTCGTACAGCTACCGTTGACGGGCGTCAACATGCTGTTGAATGTCTTTGCCCTTCCAAGAAGGGCCGGGGGAATGTGGCCTGTATCGCGCAAGGGAAGTTTCCAAGCCACTCAGGGTCTCCCAAGCCGGGTGTTGTTGTTGGGGTAGAGCGCGAGGTAGCGGTGGTTGCAGCTCAGGCGTCGGCCAGCCGTTTAATTGGTTGATGCACCACTCTCCTCCCTCCTTTCTCTCTTATTGCTCGCTGTGCTGCGCACGTGCTCCAAATGCTCTTCCTTTCTCCTCCTCCTCCTCCTCCTCCTCCTCCTCTCCCTTCTCGTCCTCCTCTTCTTGCGTTGAATCTCTGGGGGGGCTCGTCTGTCCTGCATGCTTTCATGAAGTCGGATGCGTGGGCGGCGCGGGGTTGCCGTGCACTCGGCGTAGATACGACGCGGATTCGGCATGGATTCGGCGCGTAATTGTTGACGCACACGGTACAGATGTGGCACGGATTCGACGGAGATCTCCAAGAGACGGGACAGATAAGGTTCCCCGAAGATACAGCGCCATTCCTCGTCTGCGGTTCTTTCTTTCGTTCGTCGAGGTTCTTATGCGAGGGGTAGCGCCCTCGCTCATGCCCCACGTCGGCATTGAGAACATAGGGCTCTACATCGGGCCGCATCGCCGATGCATCGGCGATGCGGCGTGATTCACCGACCCCATCTGCTTCGACGCCGTCTTGGTGACCTCCAGCGACCCTGGGTGGAGGAGGAAAGAAGGGGGCCAAGCAGGTGCGGCTCTATGGGGGGAATGGGGGAGCGAAGGTGTGCCGCTTCTGGCCGCAGGACCGTCAGCAATATCTTTATGTCGGTCCTGTCCCTCTACAGGAGGAGTATTCCCAAATAGCCAAACACCACAGTCAGGGGACGTTTGTCTTAGCAGTTTTGATTTTCTTTGGAGTACTTGGGGGGTATGCTTTATCTATCGTCCAAAATCCCCGTGTAGGGGGACAGGCCCGACCTAATGGTATCTTTGGGATTGGTCGGTCTCCTGGGCCTGCTGTTGATCGTGGTCAAGCACCGCGACGCGTGCCCTGGATACGACGCGATGCACAGTTGGTGGAGGCCTCAGCAGTGTCTTCCCCAGGGCCAGGCGCTGCACGGCGTGTCCCATCGGTATCCTTCGCTGACGGCACGCGGCCAGGAACTGTTTCGCCCCAACGTTTCTGTTTGGAAGAATCGGCATGGCGAGGCCCCAATGGTGAATCGCAGGAGCAGGCACGATTGGCAGACCTCATCCAGCTCCTCCGTGCCAATGGTGACGCGGAGATGGCAGCCAAGTATCAGTCGAAGCTGGACTTGCTCAATCAGCAGAAGGCCATCGAGAACATCAGCGTCGGCCAGGCGAAGCAGAAGGTGGAGCAAGCGGAGGCGGCCCTCCGCAGGGCCATCACCTACTGCGAGAAGCTGGAAAAACAATTCGTCACGGCCCAGGACCAAGTTGAGCCCTGTTCGGAAGCAGTGGGCAATGCCCGCAGCATCTATAAGCAGGCGGTCCAGAAGCTTGCAAAGTCGGTGGACACGAAACTGCCTGACAGCGCCGACGCTCCTGCTGCCCCTCGTCTCGACTTGGCTGCAATCCTGGATGGTGAGCCCCTGGGCCTCGATGGCGGAGGCCTATTTGGACTTGATGAGCTGGGGGAATTGGTATCGCCCGAGGACCTGGTGGAGGCTCAGAAGAGGAAAGAGGCCCTTCAGGAGAAGTTTCGGGAACTGGCTACCGTCTGTTTCGGGCAGGTCAAGGCCAAAGCTGATGAGCTCAAGCAAGGGCACACCTTGGCTAAACAGCGAGTGGCAGCTAAGAAGCGACGATGCGAGCAGCAAGAGGAGCCTGGGCCAGGTGATGCAGCAGCAAATGATGACGAGACTAAGGCGGCTACGGAGGCTGCTGCCAGTCAGGCGACAGGTGCCTCAGCTGATTCCAAGGCTGCGCCTTCTACGCCTGGTGCGCCTGCAGCCCCTGAAGCCGAACCAGCCTCCAGTAAGAAGGCCAATGGCAAGTCTGCACGCCGTTCTGCATCGATCGTCAATGATGCGAAGGCCAAGCTGGCTGCTGGGTGCGTCGCGACAGGCCCTCCACAGCAGGGGTAACATGGACTATGACTTCGACTACCAGCATTCGGTTTTGCTTGCTACTCCGTTGGGTGCAACCTTGGATGCTGATCAATACCTTCCAGAGCATCGCGTTTCAGCTGGACTTGCAGGTTACTTCTGCGTCGGGGATACCAACTGGAATAATGATGCCTGTCTTTCTCTACCTTATGAAGAGTGTCTTGGTGGGATGCAGACCAGAGTCATCTACGACTACAACCCCTGGCTGCCCTGGTCACACCCCTCTTCCCCATCTACTACCTTTGGTTCCTCAACACGATCTACTACTTACAGTACCAGGAGTGGATCAGCATCATCGCAGTGCGGCGCACTCACTGGCCCCACCTTCCATGAGAAGGGGGTGACCCCGTGGCGGCCCCACGGCGCGAGTCTCCCTGGAGGTTCGGTGTGTGGTTTCCAGCAGAAGTCGCCACACGTCCATCTTAGAGGTGCTACCAGACCTCCAGCTGGCCAGGGATGTGCCTCCCCTGGGCTGGAGACACGAGCGACGCACATTAAGGCCTCTGCAGGGACATCTGCGACGACTGGTCCACCCACGACGGCGGGGATTACTGCGAGCAGCTCGGGTTCTTGCGGTGCTGGGTCCTCCACGCACTGGACGATTGCCACCAGTGGACCTACCGCCTCGTCTACTGGGTCTTCGACCTGGGCGTCAGAGCGCTATGCGTCGCCACCAGCCTGCCCTTCCCCTGGGGCACCCTCTCCACAGGAGGCGAGGGAAACAGCGCATGGGGGAGGCGGGTTGGCAGGTTTGCCAGATTCGCGCATGACTGCAGCTGGGCCTCGAACCTTTGTGCCTGCGCCCTGCTTGGAACGACAGGCCAGAGCATGGGCCCAGCGATGGGTCAACAACCCGCATCAAGGACTGCAGCCAGATGATGAGGCAGAATTTCATGATGTGTGTGAGGCGTTTTTGGCGCAAGAGCTTGCCCATCCGAGGTTTGCGCATACCTTGCGCG